AGAACATACATTCTATACATCAGCACATGGAACATTCTCCAAGACAGACCATATGATAGGCCACAAAACAAGTCTCAGTAAATTTAAGAAAATCAAAATTATATCAAGTAGTCTCTCAGACCACAGTGGAATAAAATTGGGGATCAATTCAAAAAGGAATCCTCAAAACCATGCAAATACATGGAAATCAAAAAACCTGCTCCTCAATGATCATCGGGTCAACAATGAAATCAAGATGGAAATTTAAAAATTCTTTGAACTAAATGATAATAGTGACACAACCTATCAAAACCTCTGAGATACAAAAAAAGCTAAGAGATAAGAAGAAAGTTCACAGTAGTAAATGACTAGATTAAAAAGTCTGAAAGAGCACAAATAGACAAGCTAAGGTCACACCACATAGAACTGAAGAAACAAAAAAATCCAAACCCACAGCCAGGAGAAGAAAAGAATTAACAAAGACAAAAGAAGAACTAAATAAAATTGAAACAAAAAACAGAAAAATACAAAAGATAAATGAAACAAAAAGCTGGTTCTTTGAAAATATAAGTAAAATTGATAGACCATTAGCATGATTAAACAAGAAAATAAGAGAGAAGATCCAAATAAGCACAGTTAGAAACAAAACAGGAGATATTACAACTGATACCACAGAAATACAAAATACCATTCAAGGCTATGATGAACACCTTTACTTGCATAAGCTAGAAAATCCAGAGGAGATGGATAAATTCCTGGAAATATACAATGCTCCTAGATTAAACCAAGAAACATAGAATCTCTGAACAGACCAATAATGAGCAGTGAGATTAAAATGATTATTTTAAAATTGCCAACAAAAAAAAGTCCAGGATCACATGGATTGACAGATGAATTCTATCAGACATTCAAATAAGAATTGGTACCAATCCTACTGCCACTATACCAAAAGATAGAGAAAGAGGGAATCCTCCCTAAATCATTCAATGAAGCCAGTATCACCCTAATATGAAAACCAGGAAACGACATAACAAAAATAGAAAACTACAGACCAATATCCCTGATGAACATAGATGCAAAAATCCTTATGTCAGAAAGATAATCCACCATGATCAAGTGGGTTTCATACCAGGGATGCAGGGATGGTTTAATATGTAAGTCAGTAAATGTGATATACCACATAAGCAGAATTAAAAATCACATAATCATCTCAATAGACACAGAAAAAGCATTTGACAAAATCCAGCATCTCTTTATGATTGAAACCAACAAAATTGGCATGGAAGGGAATACTTCAAGGTAATAAAACCCAGCTATGACAAACCCACAGCCAATATTATGAATGGGGAAAACTTGAAAGCATTTACCCTGAGAACTGGAACAAGGCAAGGATGCTCACGTTCACCACTTCTATTCAACATAGTACTGGACGTTCTACCCAGAGCAATCAGACAACAGAAAGAAATAAAGGGCATCCAAATTGGTAAAGAGGAAGTCAAACTATCACTGTTTGCTGATTATATGATTGTATACATGAAAACACTAAAGACTCATCCAAAAAGCTCCTGGCACTGATAAATGAATTCAGCAAAGTTTCAGCAAACAAAATTAATATACACAAATCAATAGCTCTGCTATATACCAACAGCGACCAACCTGAGAATCAAATCAAGAACTCAATCCCTTTTATGGTAGCTGCAAAAAAAAAAAAAAATACTTAGGATTATACCTAACCAAGTCTGTGGAAGACCTCTACAAGGAAAACTACAAAACACTGCTGAAGGAAATCGTAGACGACGCAAATTGAAACACATCATGCTCATGGATGGGTCGAATCAATATTGTCAAAATGACCATACTGCCAAAAGCAATCTAGCCATTCAATGCAATTTCCATCAAAATACCACCATCATTCTTCACTGAACTAGGAAAAAAAAATTCCTAAAACCCACGTGGAACCAAAAAAGAGCCCATGTAGCCAGAGCAAGACTAAGCAAAAAGAACAAATCTGGAGGCATCACACTGCCTCACTTCAAACTGTACTATAAGACCATAGTCACCCAAACAGCACAGTACTGGTATAAAAATAGGCTCACAGACCAATGAAACAGGATAGAGAACCCAGAAATAAAGCCAAATACAGCCAACTGATCTTTGACAAATCAAACAAAACTATAAAGTGAGAAAGGACAGCCAATTCAACAAATGGTGCTAGGATAATTGGCTAGCCACATGTTGAAAATGAAACTGGATCCTCATCTCTCACCTTATACAAAAATCAACTCAAGATGGATCAAAGACTTAAATCTAAGACCTGAAACCATAAAGATTCTAGAATATCACATCAGAAAAACCCATGTAAACACTGACTTAGGTAAAGACTTCATGACCAAGAAACCAAAAGCAAATGCAATAAAAACAAAGATAAATAGATGGGACTTAATTAAACTAAAAAGCTTCTGCACAGCAATAGAAATAATCAGCAGATTAACAGACAACCCACAGAGTGGGAGAGAATCTTCACAATCTATACATCCAGCAAAGGACTAATACCAGAATCTACAAAATACTCAAACAACTCAGCAAGAAAAAAATACACAATCCCATCAAAAAGTGGGCAAAGAACATGAATAATTCTCAAAAGAAGATATGCAAACTGCCAGCAAGCATATGGAAAAATATTCAACATCACTAATGATCAGGGAAATACCAATCAAAACCACAATGTGATACCACCTCGCTCCTGCAACAATGACCATAATCAAAAAATCAAAACATAATAGATGTTGGCATGGATGTGGTGACAAAGTTACACTTTTACACTGTTGGTGGGAATGTAAACTAGTACAACCACTATGGAAAACAGTGTGGAGATTCCTTAAAGTACTAAAAGTAGATCTACCATTTGATCCAGCTACCCCACTACTAGGTATCTAACCAGAGGAAAGGAAGTCATGATATGAAAAAGATACTTGCACATACATGTTTATAGCAGCACAATTAGCAATTGCAAAAATATGAAACCAGCCCAAATGCCAATCGATCAATGAGTGGATAAAGAGAATGTGGTATATACACTGTGGAATACTACTCAGCCATTAAAAAAAAAAAAAGAATGAAATAATGGCTTCACAGCAACCTTGGTGAAATTGTAGACTATTATTCTAAGTGAAGTACCTCAGGAATGGAAAACCAAACATTGTATGTTCTCACTCATGTATGAACTAAGCTATGAGGACGCAGAGTTGTAAGAATGATACATTAGACTTTGGGGATTCAGAGGGAATGGTAGGGGGTGACAAGGGATTAAAGTTCTCACACTGGGTACACTATACACTGCTTGGGTGATAGGTGCACCAAAATCTCAGAAATCACCACTAAAGAACGTATCTATATAATCAAACAGCACTGGTTCCCAAAAAACCTATTGAAGTAAAAAAAATGGAAAACTAAAAATTAGAATTTTTTTTTAAAACCTGACAAGTAAAAAAAAAAATAAAAAGTTGATAAGATGATGTGTTGTGCATGTGTAGTGGTCAGGGAGATATGGAGATCTCTGTATCTTCCTTTCAATTTTGCTGTGACTCTAAAATGGCTCCAAAAAAAAATATTTTAAGAAGCATGAAAAATTGGATAGGCAAAGACAAAATCGTAGGAAGAACTAATCAATGGTTTTATATGAGTGAATGAAAATTTAAAAGTAGGGGAAAGTTCACAACTCACCCAGTAATCAACAGCTGCATATGGCAGAACTCATGAGTTTTAGATTTCATAACCTCATGAAACTGCATTGTGCGACATGATTATCATAGAATCATCACACCAGAAAATCAAATATACTATATGCACAGTTAAAATAATTATTATCTTGGAGAATCAGCTTTGGAAAAAATGGAGTGTCTACTAAGAAGAACCATCCTTGGTCGGGCATGGTGGCTCACACCTGTCCAGCACTTTGGGAAGCCGAGGCAGGCGGATCACTTGAGGTCAGGAGTTTAAGACCAGCCTGGCCAACACGGTGAACCTCATCTCTACTAAAACTACAAAAATTAGCCGAGCATGGCGGCAGGCACCTGTAATCCCAGCTACTCGGGAGGCTGAAGCAGGAGAATTACTTGAACCCAGGAGCTGGAGGTTGCAGTGAGTTGAGATTGTGCCATTACATTCCAGCCTGGGCAATAGAGTGAGACTCTGTTTC